ATGGAGATCAGTCTTGAAACCTCATCTCATATATGACAGTTGCAAGATGCATGCCAAATACACTCAAATTTCTGCTCAACAAGTTCAGAAGATTCTGCATTTGTCAGCGTTTTCCATCATCCAGATTTTATTGTTTGCATACTCTGAGCCAACCAAGCACCCTTCAACGAGTAAGCGAACCCCGAGAAATCATGAGTACTTCCGTTCATGTTTATTAAGACGTCTCTAGAACAGTTAAATAGAAATAAAGGTGATGGGGATCTTCAGTAGAAACCACTAGTTATCGGTACTTCAGGTGATAACTCTTCATAAACCATTACTTGGCTGTATGAGTCCACGTAAACAGCCTTGATTGCTACATTTTTCTTGCTTGATACTCTTCTTAGTTAGACACTAATATACCTCTTGTTTGACGAAAGTAGATCCGGCTTTCAGATCCATAAATATGAAAAAAGGCGGGCCTCTGTAAAAGTGGTAGTTGATTTAGTAGAAGTAATACTTGTAGTATGGTGTGAACTTTTATCTAAGGAGTTGGTAGTAGAACTCCTGGACAACTATGTAAAAAATATTTCAGCTGGCTGTTACAAGGTTAATAATGTGTATGTATTGCTTCTGCTCTATCCTCATTTATAGGAGAAATATTAAAATTTAGAATTGTCATTATTTATGTATAGGGGTACTTAACTAAAAACAGAAACTATCACCTGGTTAAATAGTTCATTAGTTACTAGCCGGACCTAAGCCCGGATAAAGAGAAAAAGTTGGGTATAGCGCTCGGAACCCTACCTCGTAAAACCAATCCAGTCACTAAAGAAACATCAAAGCAGAAAGAAAGTATAAAAAATAAAAATAAACTTATTCCTTGTCAGAATCGAAAAGACGAAATGATGCTGGTTGGTGGAAGACTGCGGGAAGCCAATTGACCGACGTATCATCTCTTCTCTCGATGAAAGCGAGAGTAAGAATGGGGACATGGAATTTAAGAACAATGCTTTAAGCTGGCTGGCTAGCTGGCAAGGCTAGCCGGCAAGGCTAGCCGGCAAGGCTGCCCAGATTGCCAGAGAGATGAGAAGATATAGCATAGAAGTAATAGGAATATGCAAAAGTAGATGGAATGGAAGTGGACTCTCCAAAATGTCAACTGGAGAGTCAATAATCTACTCCGATATTGTCACCTACACGACAACCATGAACGAGCACACTGAGTTTTGGAGTGGTTATCATGATGTCCCCAACATCATCGAAGGCTCTCTCTCATGCAGTGGGAACAAATCTCCTCCTGCAAGATCAGGATCATGACAGCGAGATTCAACTCAAAAGGAAACAAAGTCACAATCATATAATGCTACGCTACGCTATGCACCTACAAATAATGCACACGCAGAACAAGAGAAGATGGAGGAATTGTACAGACAACTGCAATCAGTACTGGTGACATCAAAATTCTAATGAGTGGGATAACAAGAATGCTAAACTCGGAGCCAACAACACAGATAGAAATAAGAATCATGTGTCGAGAAGCAGTCGGCGATATGAACGAGAATGGAGACCTGTTTGCAAACTTCTGCTCATTCAACGATTTGGTGATTGCAGGCAGTGTGTACAAACACAAGGATATTCACAAAGCAACATAGATTTGATTTCCCCAGATCGGCACACTAAAAATCAAATCGACTTCATCTCAATGTGAAGCTTGTGGAGATGCAGTTTACTGAATACAAGTTCAGATTAAGAAGAGGAGCAGATGTAGGAAGGTTGAGACCACTATCCAGTGCAAGGAACCTAACTTCAAAATCAAGTTGAAAGCTTTCAAACAAGCGGGTGGTGATTGCCTGCACCTCAAGTTCAAGACCCAGAACAGAATCTGAACTGAAGGACAAAACTATGAAGGGCATCTATATGTCAGTCGTCAGAACAAAATGGAGACATTGAGCAGCATCCCTGAGGAAACCTACGTGAAAGAACACTGAAATTCTTTGAAGGAGATGTGGAAAGAAACCTACATAACCGTATTAGGAAGGAAGAAGAAGCAGGATGAGATAAGGAATGGATCTCGACGCACACATGGAAGCTGATAGAGGAGGGAGAGGAAGATGGTGGAGCAGAAGATGAACCAGTGCAGTGCAGTGCAGTGCGAGGGTGAACAACGATAAGAGGAACTGAGTGCAACGTAGAAAACGCGACAAACAAGTGAGGAAGAGTGCATGCAAAGACAAATGACACTTTCACTACACAATGGCAGGTGAAGCACAACAGGTTGCAGGTAAGAGAGAACTGACAATGTCATATCAAATAACCAGGTTACTATCTGGTACGGAAGGGATCAACACAGATGATACCATTGAAAGATAGTGAATGAAGCCTAGTTGGTGAAGGGAAGAAACAAAGAAACGATGAGCTGATCACTTCGAATCTCTTGAATCGACCGCTATTACCACCACTACCACCACCTGCAACTCATCGAGAAATACCATCAGCAGCCAACCCCACGGAATTACCAGTGAACACAAGCCCTCCGACAAAGGCAGAAGTGAAGTCCTGAACTCCATAAACCTGTTGAAATCGGTGAGAGTAGCAGGACGAAATGAAATTCCTCCAGAAGCACTGAAAACAGACACAGGACAACAGCAGATATGCTCACACTACTACTGCAGAAGGTTAGGAGAGAGAGAAGGAAAAATGCCCGCCAATTGGAAGAAGAGCTACTTGATTAAGCTTACAAAGAAAAGAGGCTTAATTCTTTGCAAGAACTAACAAGGAATCATGTAGCTGTCTACCCCAATCAAAATATTAAGGCGCATCATCCTGACGAGACCAAAGAATGCTCTGTATTCAAAATACGACCGGAACAGGTTGGCTGGCTAGCTTCAGGAAAAAAATACAACGCTACGCATCTTCATAGAACACAGCATAGAATCCAAGTCAACCTGATCTTTACCTCAACTTCATCCACTTCGAAAAGGCCCTCAATACCGTCAACAACGAAGTAATTTGGCAGGCAGCTAGCTCAACACTACGCTTTCAGTGCCACAAATATTTATCAACCTCATTCAACAGCTATATGCCATACTATATGATGCTACATGCCAACTAATTCACAATGGAAACAACAGTGATGCCTTTGAAGTGAAGACAGAAGTAAGACAAGACAACACTGCCACCTATTATCATCACCGATGATCTTCCTGATTGTGGTCGACTGGACTGGATCATGCAACAAACTGTGAGCAGCGAGAAGAGGGGCATACAATGTTTGACCAATGAAAAGACTCTAGAAGAAGGAGGATTCGGATTTAGCCGATGAAGACTTATGTCCAATGTCGTACAAACTGAAAGATCTACAGTCGAAAACTAACAAGTTGACAGGAGAGGCGAGGCAGCGAAGACGAAACTGACTCCAGGGGAACGTAGACAAAACAGAGGTGATGAACATACCCAAACAATGACAACAACAAGAACAACAACAACAACAACAAGCACCAATCACCATCAATGGGAGAAAACCAAAGGAAGCTGTCTCTTTCACCCGCCTACATGGGCAGCATCAATTCAACTACACACTACACTGGCACAGATGAGGATGTCGAAGCCAGCATCCGAAGGACACCAAGATATGCCTTCCTTCATTAATATGAAATCAGTGTGGAGATCTACTCCACTGCACTCCACTCAGCATAAAGCGTGAACAACATCTGGATCTTCAACACTAATGTCAGTCAAGTCAGTGTTTCAGAGACTTGGCGCGTCACGAAAAGCATCTCCAACAAACTGCACACATACATCAACATCTCACTCGATACTGAAGATGAAGGTTTGATCGTTCGTTGCGGTGTTGACATGTAGGAGATCATGTGAGGAAGAAATGAAAGCTTCTGGGTAGTCGTGGTGCCAGGTTGAACGGACTGCAGAGAGGAGAGTGAGTTGGAGGCGTGTTACTGAAGCCCTGTGTTCCACTAGGAACACAAGGTACAAATAAAACAAATTAAACAAACCTATTTCGTATGAAATGCTCAAATTGATCAAACAAGCACTTCAGTTATGTCATCCAGCTTATTGAACATCCGAAGTTGGTAACAGTTAGGTAGGTTCCCCAATCACGAAGCCTAAACTATGTTTGTGCTGGGTTTAATGGCAATTTTCTGATCTACTTGACTTTTTTATTCGCACATTTTTGTCTTTTTTCGTGTACAGAACTCACTCACTGGATTTTTCTGTCACTCCCCTGACTACGCGCAACAGAAAACAATGTCTGATGCTTACTGTCATAGTATTTTCGTAATGTGATTCGTTTATAAGTATACAAATGAATTAAATGTACGCAGCTGATCTTAAATCTTAAAAAAATGAAATAACTGATTTCAGACATAAAAATAAAATGATACCCAGTAATTGATTCCAATCAATATTCAATTATTTTAGAGCTATGAGTCTTAAGAGAATAAATGAAGGATCGATGAAAAGCTCTAACCCATGCTATTCAATAAGTCTCGGATATAATTTCTTTCTGACTAAATGAAACAATACGACTGATTGTGCTTATCTTACGGTTACATTTTTCACTCCTCTGCCGGTATAAGAAACTATAAATGAAATTCAGTAGGAATACATTGTATATCCTTGGTGGTTACGAAAGCTCATGAACCTAAGTATTTGTGATCTAATGAAAAGTTCATTCAGAAAAAAAGCTTTTTTTCACCTCCCAATGAATTGAATGATTCCGATGATGTTTCTTGTCATCAATAAAATATGTCGTAAATTTTCAAGCGCGGAGAAGCTCTTATGGTTGTGTGATCTGGATGTTATAAATTTGCTGTTACCACTAGCTGCTGTTGAGTAATAGTCATAAATTAACACAGGAATAGATCAATAACTTTCTGTATTAAAATTCTTATCACTCAAAATATCCTTTTAAAATATAACAAGTTGAGCATTGGAGTAATGATGAGTTTTACAATTAATAATAATTCTGTTTTCTTTTGATAAATAAATAATATTGACAGCATCTACAGAGGTTATCTGGGATTTTGTTGATAAAGCCAATGATCCGTCAGTTGCCATCGTTCATCAGTTACCATTTTTCTCTGATCATCCGGGTTTCGTAGCTGCTATAGAAAAGGTAATTCAACTGGTTATTTCAGAATAATGCTTCGAATTTATTTAACAATCAGTTAGGTGAAAATAATAAATTCGTATGTTATATGTTATACATCTACTGTATATTGGAATCAATGTTCTGTTTTATGATTTTTGATGTGAAACATGTATTTTAGTGCAAAATTTTGACGCATTATCACCGGATAAAGTTTAATAAATTTATACCCAAAAAATTTAAGAATGAACTACCTTTGTGAGGTTTAGGTGTCTTCACTTGTATACCGTTCGTAAATTAGCTCTGATTTTATCATTCAGGACAGTTCTGTACGTCACTCAAATAATCTTTAAGTCTTAGTTGGAAGTAAATTATTATTCTGACGCACCCTGAAGTTGCTCCGTCTGCCGGCATGTTCATCGTTCGACTCACTAATGCAAGAAAATGCCTACATCTGTCTGTTCATTTGTATACTCACTTGTGATAATGAAGTAACCGGCATCATTTGGCTTACTAACTTGGTGTTGACCTCATGAAGAGTATAAAGTAACCATCTACTGAGTATTCATCAAATCTCTCCACTTTGAAAACAAAAATGGAAGCATTCTTACTTTTTATCTTTATGACGCGTCAAATTTACACGGAGTTTACATTGAGAAATATTTATGAAATTAATATTAGAAGAGTCAACAAAAACACTATTTTCCTAGTGATGTAAGCTTTTTGGTAACACCTACGGATGATTTCATCTCTACTATCTTAAGGTGATTCGAAAGTATACTTGAAGAATCTCATCAGCAACCTTTTGAGTTTTTCTTGTAGACATCATGACCATTGATTATTATTTGGTGATTCATTTCGTTGACTTATTAGTTTCTTCCGTTGGTTAGTAATTTTTTGATTTCGAAGTCAGCTGTAATGCCAGAATATTGAGTTCTGCACCCATGGTCTCAGTATAAGTAGGATGTCATTTCCATTTCCTGGCAGTTGTCTATAAACAACTCTTCTCGTAGATTAAAGTTAGCGCTAAATTTAAATCACTCAAAAGATAATTAGGATAACGTATTTAGAGAATATGAACTTACTTAGAAGATGATATTTTCTCATTTTAAGCCGGAAGATTACTACCTTATTCAGTCAATATGATCTTACAACTGTGGTAGAGTTGTTCCACCTATTCCAACTTATCCAGCTTAATGTCAGTTCCTACAAGTAAAACAACACGTAAATGCGAAACTGTTCACTTTTTTTAAAAAGCTAAAAGTATTTAAGTGGTCAAGTGATAATGGCTTTTGTCGCTCTTAATTACTTGTAACTCAAAATATGCCTAAAGAGAGAATGGATTGTGCAAGTAATTGATTGTTAGTCCACGACCTTGAAATGCTACTTATTATCTGACCAATATTGACCTTTGGATATGTGGAATAGTTTGCGGGTGCTTTGTAAAATATTTTTACACCCCATTTGAATGGCAATATTTTTTAAATTTGCATTCCAACACGACTTCTGAGGAATATTGTGCACAACCAAGTTCTATAGAAGTTCTCTACACCACTAATGGTCCAAGGAGGTAAATCCCCTTGTATTACTGCTTATTAAAGAGTCATCTTATTCCTATAGAAGTTGACAGAAATTTAGTTCGTAATAACCGAGATGCTTATGTCATAAAAAATCAGTCTGGATATCGTGAATGCACTTTGGGATTTAGAACAGCTAAACTCAGAGTTATTCGAATGGACTGTAAGGTATTATATTCTTATATTCAAGTACTTAGTGATCGAACGCTACTTCAAAAAAAGGAGTAAACTGATCGGTCATTTGATTTTGAGACATAAATTCTGATCAGTATCTTGTTACCGTCTCTGAAGTCTAATCACTAAGGTGAGTGACCTGGCATCATGTGTTTGGTGTTCATTACTAGAAATGTTACAGCTGGAAGTCCTGAGTCTTGATAGCACACTAGTTGGCAATCATTTGGAAGGCTTACATGCAACAATGAACATACCCACTCTCCTTACGAGTTCTAATAGAGGGGTCTTTAATATAGGTGTAAAACTTGGGCTCTGTGGTAGAATTTAATTTCATATTAGATTTGTTTATTCGATTTATAACACACAGTGATCTAGTATTACTTACTTGATGATGTTTCGAGCATAAATTATTGCTCATAATCAATGCAGGGCTTTTACATTAGTTAACGCAAGTTGGAATTTCCAGGGGGACATAAGTTGCCTCACGTTTGTTTATACGCTTCACCGATGCTTGTCAAATAGACTTAAAACTAAGTCCACGACTATCATCCAACCAACAATCGCGCTGTTCAAAAAATACAGTGACATTTTAATTATCTGAAAGCCCATTGCAATTTGGCTTCTTATCCAGTTATTGGAAAATGAAACTGCTTAGTGTCGGCCATACCACTTTTTTCACTGATTAGCACGATATAGATACAGGGTTAACTGCTTTTTTTTACGTTACCTAAGCATGGTTTACCCTGTAATATATTATTCCCTGTGAAACGTCATGGTTGTATACTTTAGGTAGCAAGTCAGATGATAACAAAGGTAACACCTGGCTATACTTATAATTGTAACCTGTAAAATTCTCTCGAATAAAACAGTGTTTTCTAAGATGAAAGATCCGACTGACTTAAATCCTTCCTACCTGCAATTCGAATGAGATCTAAAAAAAATAACATTTTTGGTCTTAGTCGTTACTTTGTAGCATCTGTGCATAAATGTGTGAGGATTGATGCTTTGGTATATCTCTATATCTGTTCAATAATTCAGTAAACAAAAATCTGGACTGAAAATGAATAAATGATACAATAACATCATTGTATTCATTTTCAAATGATGTCCTTTTTACTGGACAATGAATTCCATTTGTCAATGCTCTTCTAATTCACAGCTTTCTTTTTTAAATAGATTGTGTATCATTATTTGAGAAGCTATTATAGCAAGTAAAAAGAACTACAACTTTATTTTCAACATTTTTTATCTCTATATGCACTGTCTGGGGAGGTGATGCTGATTCACTCATGGGAAAGTAAACCTGATTGCATAGAACAGAATTACCAGTGACACATCTTAGTGTTGGAATACATTATAATGCATTACCAGCGAAAAAATAATTTGATATTTAAATGTCCAAAAAAATTTATCTAGGACAGGATCATATTCATATATCGGCTACCCAGTAGTCATTAGTTGTATGTTTGGAATGAAGGATGATGCTCCAAGACTGGTCTGCTACAAATACTCCCAGTTTCATGATAAGGACTGCAGTGGTGGAATGTGTCAACCACTTCATTTACTTGGAGAGATGCACCAACCCAAACAGGCTGGTTGCAAACGATGTCTCATCTCGGATATAGAAGACCCGCTTGGCATTTATGTCATCTGTGGCACCAATTGGCGAGATATCTGACTACCTATCGAAAGACGAGTTTACTGTGCTACAGTCTGTTCTGTCCTGTTATACGACTGGGAAACCTTGCCCCTAGAAGTGAAAGATATAGTGCTGTTATAGGGTTTTGATAACATGTGTCTTCTGATCATTGCTCGAATTTAGTGGAATCCCCACGTGAGCAATTTTGAAGTCAGGTGAAGGATACTTGGCAAGATAGGCAAGTTGATTGATGAGGTTGTGAACTTTAGTCGACTGAGATGTCTTGGACATGTGTTGTGTATGCTGAGCCACTGCCTACTTGAACGTGTGAAGCTAGGGGAAGTTGGATTAGGTTGGGAGAGGGTTCAGGGTGGCAAGACCGAGACGCGGTACTAGTTGATGAAGTTTTTTAAAGTTGGTTTGAGTCGTGGAGGGGGAGGGAGATGTTTGTCTGGCTGGGGTCTCCGAGGCGAAAGGAATTGATGGTTGAGGGCTCGTGACGACATGTTTGAAAATGGGTCACGATGGCACAGATGTAAACAATTCTTGACGTCTTCTAAAGCTTGAATATTTGCACTATGCGTTATCGAAATAACATTTAGTGGCAAAAAGATTATCGATAGCTTTTGTATTCACTCTCATGATTGGCCAAATTACATTTATGTATTTATTGCCTAATAAATTATATTCGGATGCCAAAACGTTCAGAAGCACATTTTAAATTGGTAATAAGGTAATTACGTGAAATGCTACTGTAATACTTCACTAGATTTTCCATGAATGAAACAAAATATTTGAGCTTTAGGTTTGTATAATATATTTTCTCTTGATTGGAACGAGTTTATGGGATCGAAGGCTTGTAAATAGAAGTTCTGGCCATCAAACTTCTCTTTTAATCTAACTAGAGTTCACTCACAGTGTGAACACAGGATTGTTTCACACTCTTTCTATTTGCTGGAGGTAGCTAAGATAGTGTGCAATGTCCCACCATGTAGTTTGTCATTCCGTGATAGTTGAATAAAACACCGTTAAGTCAAGTTAGAACAGTAATTCAGTATTGTGTCCCAATTGATAGAGTAGCACAACTAATTTTTAGAAAACTGATTTCAATACATTGGAAGAATAGATTTTACTGGCATTATTTTTTTCCAAACGAATTGAGTGAGAAAAATCCGATGCATATTTAAACCAAAACATAACAGCATTTCATAAAATTGCTGAATGTCGCTTTGTGATGTGTGGTGTAGGCATTCTGATGATATCTCCATATTATCTAGAATAGATGCTTGAATATCCCAGGCTACCTGGCTGATATCGAACACTGTTCCAAACATATTCAATCTTTATCTGAGTTTTGAAAATTTTATTAATGCTTATTTTACGCATAAATTCTCTTTATGAATTTGAAAAGACCAAGGGAAACAGTGGAAGCGGGATATAACAGATTAATTTTATTTTGTTGTAATCTTGTCAGCTCCCTACAACATAGAATACCAACATCATTTGACTCAAAATTATCAGAAAACTGAAGACATTACTGGCAAAAACGTTCCTTGCAACCAAATAAATTTCTTTTTGTACCAACCAATGTATTAGTTAGTTCATTGGAAGGTGCTAGGTATCCGTACTACGCAACC